CACCCCAATCTCTGCAGCCCCGTTTCGGCGGCCCTCCAGGAAGGGAGACTCGAAGCTGTAGAGAACCAGATCTTCTGCGTTCCAGTCCTTGCGTAAGATCCCAAAAACGCACAACAGCCGCTTATACGCCGCTTACCGGAGGCTCGAAGCTTGTAGGGATCAGCCGGAAGACATCTAAAATCACAGCCACTTTGAAACCCTAATCGCTCTCATGGCAAGCTGTGGGTAAGAACTCAAGTTCGAAAAACAAAAACATGAAAAAGGCAATGGCCTTACGGGTCCTCAGGGTTATGACAGAAGCAGTCAGTGGCCTTAATTTATCAGTAATACTAAGCACCCCCTACCCCTAGACCTTGCTTGGAGGCAGACCTCCAATCAGCCGGTCCAAGCCACTGTCCCGGTGAGCTCACGAGGATCCCAGTCCACGCGGGAAAAGGAGCTCACGGACGGCCTTACATTGGGTACCACTGGTCCCCCTCTTCTTGTTCTTCTGCTTCTTTGCTAGTTGCTGCTAATTTTTGTATGAGCATACTAATAAAAACACTCCTCCGCTGACATTGACGGTGGTAGCGACTTTTTCGTACTGATCTCTCATTGTTGTTCATTATGCAGCTTGGATGTCCATTGCATAGGACGGCGCGAGTGCCTCGATGTCGCTGGGCCCTGTGAGATTGTGGAAGGGACATAAATCCAGGTGTAACCGATCTCCTGAATCCAGCAACTGGGACACCCTTCTTCCCATCCCAGGTACCTAAACGGAAATCGAGTTTTTGCCTGGTCTGACCACCAACAATTTACCCAAATATCTAGCATGGCCCTGCTAGCTTGCAGCACAAGACAGCAGCAGCAGGAGTAGCAGGATCAGTCGAACATACATGTTTTAGTATTTTGTCACTTTGCCTGATGTCAAGTGACTTTACGGCATGGAGGTAGCAAGCGTAAAGCAATCTAGTAGTGTTGGCTAAATCACAAGAATGGTGAGAGCGAGCATGACGAACACTTGCCTTACAGAACCCCAGTGATCGCAGTCACGTTGCATGAAGGTTGCCAGGGTCAGTGTCTCATCAAAGTCAAAGAGCACGACCTCCACGGGTCGTCGGACGCCTTGGCTCTATCCCAACTTTCCCTCTTCACTGCTGCTTGGTGCATGTGGTTACGAGCGTCTGAGCATGTGCTCAATGCCTTCTGGTCCTTGTTGGATCCCGGTAGGAAGCAGAAACTGAACAGTGATGGCATTGCTATTGAAACAGTTTTGATCACGGCACTCATGACAAAGACTTGCTATCATCAAGCACGCTTTTTCAAGGCAGACGCTGCTTGCGCTTTGTACATCATGCTTTTTGACTTGCATCGTTTTGCCTAGATTGTACTTTGCTTTCCTGCCCCGGGAACTGCATTGGACAGGTAAATTCGTTGTGCGAGAAGCTGTGCCAGCTCTGCATGTCGCACTGCCTAATGGCACAACCAGGCAGCATGGACATGTGCATGTCGTAAGTTTTCAACGGCGAAGGTGTCTATAGTTGTGAGAGTATGGGCCTTCTAATGATGCGAACCAGAAGAAGACGCAGGACAATCTGGCAGAAGTTTGAGCGCTGTTGTGACCCTGGCGAATTGAGCTCACCCGTAAGCTGCTGTCAAACTTCCGTGGTCTGGGAACCGACGCTCCACGCAGTGAAGCTTCAAGGTCTCCTGCGCGCAAGTTGCTTTGAGAACTGACATGCTGCTTTGCATGCTGCATGTAAGTTTTGCGCTCTGTGTGCCCTTGTGGAAGACCACATGCCGCGCTTCATGGCGCCACTGCCTGCTTACTACATATGACTCACCACATGCGCTTCAGCCCTGCAGACTCGCAAGATCACATGGGATGCGGGCATTCTATGGACAGTCAGAAGCCCCAGCCTGCTGCCCTCTGTGCTCCAGCAGGCCCAGTCATTCAGAAGCCTCAACCACAAGCCTGCTGAATCTTTAGATCTCAAACTGCTAACTTTCCTGTCCTTGTAGAGGGAAGGGGCCTCCACAAACATTTGTAGATTGCGAAAGTCTTCCATGCAATGTGCGCCGATGCCGCCCATGTTTTTGACCTGGGATATGGGGTTTACGTCTTGTGGGAGCTGTCACGGCAGCACGCCCATCTAGATAGCATTGTCCGGTAAACGACAAGCGTGCTGTCATGATCTCCATTTCCAACAAATGTGTGGCCCTACTTTTCGTGCTCCTTCTAAAGAGACTCTGCTGACATCTTCGCACATTTGGGTATTCCTACTTTTTGGACACCGCTTTGGTCTTCAACTTGCCAGAAGAAACACCGCCCAGAAGATGCCAATTCTAACGCGACAACCACGCATGAAAAAAGTCAGTGTTTGTCTTTGACCATGTTGGGCTGACTAATAGCACTAGAAGACATTTATCCTTACATCCACTGCATAGTTTGTCAGGTGCATCACTCTTGTGTCAACCATTCTCTTGGGAACCTGTCAAAATGTCAGACAGACGCCACTCGTAACGAGCAGCGTATCCCAAGTTCCGATAGAAGGCGTCGTAGCGCGCGACCTCCCGTGCAAAAATCACAGCGTCCGAACCAACAGCAATCATCATCCGTCATCTACTGGTGTCTACACTGCACCCAGTAAAAGGATCTTCGGGCCTTCCGCTGGCGCTTATCCGGTAAGCAAACTTGCTATATCACCCGACATGACGCAGGTTCCCCTATAGTTGGTCGCTCAACTCCGCGCAGGCTCTCAACACGTTCTAGGATGTGGGATTCCCAGTATCCTGGCCGCTAGCAGGCGAGGTCACGAGACTGCCCAAGAGGCCCTCACAAGTTACAAGTGTGTTCCCTGTTGCCGCAACTGCTTCATGGTCTTGGTTGCTAGTAGTTGCTGTGACCCTACTGACTTACTACTGCTGGGAGTCGTTCTGGTCAAGGGGCACCATCCTGCAGACTCTTTTCTACACTCCTGCCCGGTGCTCGAGGAAGCTTCTTTGCCCAAGCCGCATGGGAATGGTGAGATTCTTCTGGTGGTAGTGGTGGCAGGGCAAGGGTGGTGGCGGTAGTAGGATTCGTCGTCGTCATTTTGGGAGCAGCAGTGGGCTTTCCGCGTGGCCATGCGTGCGCCGAAATTCATTGAGGAAAGCTGAGCAGGTTAAATTTCAGGAGCGTGGCGAGGGTATCTGAATGAAGGCTGGCATGTCGCGGACTGGTTGGCCAACACGGCACTTCAGCAGAATCGGTTTGACAACTGGCGTGAAGGAAGGTCAGAATCAATACCAGCCAAGCTAGTAGCCCTGAAGCGGTTAGGGTTCCCAGCCTTGGAAAGCGGCTTCCTGATTGTTGTTTATTCTGAGCTCATGAATCAACAGTCTCAAAACGACCCACGCATCCTACCTGGCTCTCATATGCAACTGTCCCCTCTGTGCTCTAGATGCCGCAATGACGACAACTAACGAGAATCCTCTTTGGCAACATGTGCGAACCACAGCGTAGCAGCTCGCAGCCACGAGGCTGCCTACAACAGGAATTTCAATGAAATCCTATACAACCCCTGATCTTCAAATCTTGAACACCACAAGCCAGCAGAACTCAAAGTTTGAGGAGTCGAGACGATGTCTAGAGTGGCCTTGCAGAAGCGAAGAACCTGTGCGCCAGATGGGCTCCTTGGGATCAAAGAGCGATCTCATCAGGGTGGTTGCCGTTCTGGATTGCAGGCTTGGGACTTGAGGGATGCCCAGCCCAGAACATGATCCCAAAGCCGGAACCTACTACGCTATGAAAGGCAAAAGCCAGTGTGCTCAGTGCCTCCGGAGAAAATCTGCAAACGCTGGTATGGCATTCCGCTTAAACATCACTTTGAATACCTGCCAGGCAACCTGCACTACTGAAGAAAATGTGCGATCATTGGCCAAACCCTGGTACTGCAGATCCTCCCGTCCTTGATTGAATGACCCATACGGACCCATCTTGAGCTTTTGCTATTCAAGACAAAGGTAAATGGAGGCGAACGGCGCGCTACGCAAATGGAAGACCTGTGCGCAGCTAAATTCCAATACAAGGATCCGAAGTTCTAGGGGTCAAGATTGGCATAGTCCCCCTTAACTAGATAGGACATGGGGTTCCCCACAACCATACTAAGATCCCCATAGACCCCAAATTCTATCTACTTAAGGAGTACCTTTTGTGTTGAGGCGCCTACGGTACACTTCCTGGTTTGATGTTGGGAATGGAGGAATGGATCTCCACAGTAGCCCCTATATACGCCCCACTTCGGAATTTCCATGTGCTTCTTCATTCCCTAAGTCCCAAACCCTGTGTAGTAGTCTCAGTTTACTTCTCCATTCCCTCCACCAAATTAGTCAAAGCCGTAAACAGCAGCTTCCATATTGTCTGCGTTCTCTACTAACAACCAGCAAGTCGATTGCTGCAAAGCAAGAGGCTGGAAATTTGCTCGCTGGTCATCCACCAGTACAATGCCCTCCAGTTGTAGGTCGGCGAGGTTCTGGAAAAGGCAGAGAGTACCATGATCTTGGGGCGTAGGCTTCAGGGTTGAAGTTCTGAGTTCAGAAAGTTCAAATGGCATGGTTGTTGCAGGGTGCTGTGAGCTGATCACGTCTAGCAGCTTTCTCAAGGACTTCTGCGCACCGAGACGTTGTTCTAAACCAGCAGCTGATATGCCCCCTTCAAAGCTAGTAGTCGATAGGGGTGCAATGTCATTTGGTCCCTGCGGCATTTGGCAGTCCAAGTCGTCTTGCTTGATAAGCGTCTGCGCGCCAACCACACAGCAGGTCGTAATCATGGCATTTTTGTCAACAATGGCTTCTACATTGTGTCGCCAACATGCCTACGGAAACCCATCTCCAAATAACATTACCTGCGAACACTCCCGAGGATTGTTGAATGTGGTGAGAAGGCGTAGGTTCACTCTTATGCACGTCCTGTCGCGTCTGCTGTGGTGGCACTGGGTGAAATTGTGAAACGACGCGGGCGCAAGCGGCCAGGCCGCCGGCTATTGGCCGGGGCTCATGTATGGATTACGCCGCACATTTGCAGTGAGTACATCCAGGTTCACCAATTGCGCCACACAACGCTCTTGCCGTGTGGCTTGGATCTCTGGGCTGGAGATGCTGCGCAAGGGGATGTGCTCTCGCACATAGGCGCTCTTTTTCGGCGGGTCGATAGCGGCACCACCCATCTGCAGACATGGGCGAGGTGGCGGCACGCGCTCGGCCTTCAGGATGTCCTGACGTGGCTTCTGGAAGTGGCGCTGCTCATGTGACTTCGTCTCAAGCAGATCACCGGGAGGGCAAACAGTGCTGGTCAGCTTCTGAGGCGGCTTCCGGTTTGGCTGCCGAGCGCCTTTCAGCGCCTCTGTGCCACAGCCTGCGTATTCGTCCTCGTAGACAGTGGTGCTGTCCATTATCGCATTGCTCCCTCCCTTGCTCTTCTGCCAGCCGGCCTGTCTAGGAGTCTGGGGTGACTATTCAGCCCACACCTGCCTTCCCATGCCGTCATGTTTCTGAATCAAATTCGCTGACATGCTAGAGGGGTCTACTTTAAGGCCTTGAAGGATGCAGCCAGGTCTGTGTTGATCTTGTTGTCCCCCAGAGGCAGAGGCACGTACTGCTCCTGAGAACCCCCTGTACAGTTTTGTGTGCATGTAAACTATGTAAGCCATGTACGAAACCCTGCAGCCACAAGTCACAAGAGGAAACCCTCGTCCCAGAAGCCATAAAAAGGGATCCGGAGACACTTTGAACAGCCTAAGCTCCGTGTGGTGGCAGGAGAGACGGTTCGTGAGCGGGGCCACGTTGCGTGCCCACTGCAAGTACTTGGTGTTCCGCTGGCCAATGGCATGGACATTCCTTTGTTGCCAGAACCCTTAACAACAACGGCTTCAGATTTTGAAGAGGGTCAGGGTTTCAGGTAAACTCTGACCATTGCAGGTTTGTTGAAGGGCCCCAGGGCGGTGGGAAGGATTAGAAGAACCGCGCAAATATGCATACTTCCAAAGAGCAGTCAAGATTCAAGTAGTTTTCGCCCCTTATCTCGTCAGAGAGTGGCCGCTGATAGAGCGCCCTGTCACTGGTCGTTTGGTAGTAGAACCTGGGCTACTGCTGAAGAATTCCCAAAAACAAGTTCTCATCTCTTCATGGCCTCCCTATATGCCAAGTACACAGCAATCAGGCCACTTATGCCGTTGCGCCCACCTCACTTCTTAATTAGGGTGGTTTGTAGCGACTACCGGAATATCCCTTATTCCCTACTAACCCACAGTAAGGTGAGGATCTCCAGGAACCTTCGTACCTCATCCTGGCTCACGGCTGCCAGAGCCCGGTGTGTAGGAAATGGCCCGGGTGAAGGGTACAGCGGTGGCATGGCTGACCCCACCCCACTCTAAGGCAGGACCCAGGCCTGAAGTGAGCCAGGGCTGCATGAAAGGCGGAAATCGTCGTCTTTCTAGAACAATGTTATGAATTATTCCCCGCTCGGTGATGGATGTTTGAATCCTCTTCTCCACTTCACTTGTGTGCTGTGCTTCATGTGGTTGCCGGCTCCTGATCCCCCTCATTGACTCAAAAATGCGAACTTGACTCCTTCAGTCAAATCCCGTGCCCCTTTCCCGGGCAGTCCGTCCATTCATCAGGCTTATCCTGCATCTGTGGCAAGAAATCCTTGGCCGGCCGGCTGGCTCGATGCAGCAGCAGCAGGTATTCTCATCTTTGCAACTGATCATAAGACCAAGTCATGACAAGATCAAGTCGAACCATTTCGTCTCCATTATTTCCCACTCCGCCCAAATAATGGAGGCCCAAACCATTTCCTCTCCATTATTTTCCCCCGCGCTCAAATAATGGAGGCCCAAACCATTTCCTCTCCATTATTTTCCCCCCGCCCAAATAATGGAGGCCCAGACCATTTCCTCTCCATTATTTCCCACTCCGCCCAAATAATGGAGGCCCAAACCATTTCCTCTCCATTATTGTCGCCCCCGCCCAAATAATGGAGGCCCAAACCATTTCCTCTCCTTTAATTTCCCACCCGCCCAAATAATGGAGGCCCAAACCATTTCCTCTCCATTATTTTCCCCCTCTCCCAAATAATGTGGTAGTCGTTTAAGCAGATCGCTCGTACATCAGCTAATATTACAGAAGGACAAATACTTGTGCAAAGCTTCTGCACTCTTAGCAAGTTGTTAACGCAAGCTGCCATGACGCCATCTGGGCAACACCAAGGCTGTACATTCTCTTTGCAACTTTGCACTGGCTGTTCTTTTTTTCAACTGCCAAGATGCTGTTGGCCTCTTCGCTGCCAAAGCCAATCTCAGCTGCTGTATGGGATGCGACGTGTGCTGTTGGAATAAACGCTTGAAGAAGTGGCAGAGCTTGACGACTCAGGTCTTATTGAGTGAGAAGGCGCCAGTGATTGATTATTTGGGGCAGGTGCCAACACGAGGCTTGAGATTGAGGTTCCAAGACTTTGGCGGAAAAGGCAAGCAGGCCCCCTTCGAAACCCGTGAACCGACCCAGGCAGGACAGTGCATTAAACAAGAACCTCCTCAAATCAACCAGGAGTTGAAGAGTGTCAGGTTGAAAGACCCACCTTGTCTGAAAACTAACCCCACGAAGTTAACTAAGCGGAAAGCTTTCAAGTAACTTTTGAAAAAATGGATGGCCCAGCCTTGCTACCTACTGGCTGAAAACCCCAACCCTGGAGAAATGCAAGAGGCAGCCAAGAAGGAAACTTCTACCGCAGGCCCCATAGACTTTGCATGGCCCTGTGAATGCTATGAAGTGCTGCTTGACAGTAACCAATATATCCCCTATGTACCCTGTTATACTATAGTAGTTTCCATTTTCTTTTCCATTATCCCCATATAACCCCGATATATCCCCTATTATACTACCTTGCAGAAGCTTGAGGATGAGGGATTGTACTTCTCCAAACCCTGATGCTGCCAGAAGTGTTCAAAAGGCGGAACGAAGGCAATGCCCTGAAACAAGGAGATAACTTGTATGTGCATACTAGATATGAAGCTTTCAGGCTTGGAAACCCATAGCTCTTGCTGACTTACTGCATAGATCTCTGGTGGTCTGAGCGCAAAACAGGTCCGCCTTGTGCGTGACGTCCCTGGTGGCTGGCCAGTCGGTGGTAGGGCTTCTGCTTCGGTGTGGGATAAGGTTGAGTTGCGCCAGCAACACTCGCAGGGTTCGTGCTGTGCTTCAGATTCCGAATATCTTTGGACCTCTCAAGAATTTCTACCGTGGGCGGGCAGTGGCGTCCCTGATGATGGTTGCACTGGCAGTTGTAGCAGCATTCTTCCTTTTAGTGGCCGTTGGGATTCGCAATTGCAGGAACACAGCCCCAGCAAAGCCTCGGACCCACCCATGGAATTGTTTGCAACCCTGCTGGTTGGCGTGAAGTGTACCCAAAGCAAGGCTGAGAACAGCAAAATTCATCCTCTAAAAACGCCTAGACATACAACCTACAAACGCCTGATATTCTTTAATGGCCGGAAGCCCTGCTAACGACTTCGCATCCCCCGAAACAACTCCTAGCAATCCATGTACTTATACTTAGCTGGTACCCTACAAAATGCAGCCCTACATTTGAGAAAGCGCCAAGCCGCTGGATAGACAAGGTGATGGGTAGCCACTCGGTACCTTGAGCTCAAGATTCGTATTGCGTGGGATTTCTGAGATGCTAGGTAGGTATCTGACGAACTTCTATTGTCATCGATTTATCGATAAAGACAAATATAGGGGATACAGGTGATAGCTATCATCCGGTGATAGTTTGATTGTCCCTACCCAGCTGAGATGTTGGTGCAGGTGTTGGTCTGTCTTCAAACCTTAGACAGAGGTTTTGGGTCAACTTGGTCCTCCTCCTTTGCTTGAGGGGCCGCCCACAACGGCTCCGAGAAAATCGTGCATGACTTGCCAGCTTCTCAAAATTCATCTTTTCCGGTCCCTCCCCCCCTTTTTCCGCTTGGTCCATGCGCTCAGCCAGGTTTCGGCCAACTTATTAGCAGTATCCTGGGGGCATTCATCATTACGGGTTGGGGCGGTCTATTTTAGGGAGAGGGGACTACAAGGTGCCCCATGAGAAGGGCTACAGAATGAACCCCTCTGTCTTGGGCATGTCTAAGGGCCATATCTATGCTTTATGCCTCCTGAAGCAACAAGCGGCCGGTGCTAGTGCGACCACATTGCCCATTCTGTAGATCCCGGAAAATGCCGCGTGCGAGGGCAAGGCCCATATCGCGTCGAAGCACCTTCAGACTTGAAATATTCATCGTCCCCGATAATCGGAGCTTCTCGAAACCGGGGTCTCTCATGCAATCCCGAGGCGAACCTGTCCAAAACTCCAGACACCAGAGCCCTTCAGATGGCTTGTCCTGTTTGGAAAATCCACCATGGATACCTAAGACGGCCTAGATAAGGGAAGTGTGTTTGGAAGCCTGCCTCAGAGGTTGCTAGAGTTATTGGAAAGACAAGGGGTTATCATTAGTGCTGACTCTTCAGACTCCTATGCTGCATCACTTGGTAGCTTTGGACTTAAGCTGGCATGCTGAGGTCGCTTAGCTTGCAGTCCCTCCTACATGTTTGATTGCGATGTTTTGATTTGATATCTTTGGTCCTGAAGATCTTGTTGCGAGTGCGATTCTTTGGTAGGACTGCTGACCCTTTGGAGAAGTGCTACAGCGACATGACCGCATGCAATGCATTGTTGTGCTAGCATATTTCAGCGAGGCACTCAGAGAGGTCCGCCGCGCGAAGCAACGTGAGCACAGAACTCACCCCAGCGTTATTCTTCCTCAGAATTCTGAGCTGCCTATGAGCGGGTCATGCAGAGCTTGATGAACCCTCATCAGGGCGCAGGACCTCATAGAGGGTGAGGCGGGGTACAAGTGGGGCGGAGGGGGCCCCAGCACCGACCCTCCAAATGCAATGTTCCAGAATGAACGTCTGAAAAGCATACACGGAAAGTAGACAATGTGGTGCAGTTCATCGGCCATAGACCGCAAGGTTCCAAAAACACGGATTCTAAGACTGCCCTGGACCTAGCAAAACTCCAACTGCACTGCAAATCCAAAACGCTCAAACAAGCCCCGACCACCTTCAAGCCCGGCCAAGAACGACAAAGCAAAGCCTTGCAGGTGAGAATCGTTAGCACCGTCACAGCCCGCCGTGAGCCGGCCCGCGAGAAGCGCAGCTCGGAGAGCATGTCTTGGCTGTCAGGGTTCTTCCACACCTACACGGACCTTGAAGTCCTTTTGTAGCTGGGCTCAGTCCGACTTCTTGAAACAGTCTCTCAATTCAAAGGTTACGACATCCACCCTCCAGGTGCAATTAGGGTTTTGCGAGGTAAAATGCTTGCGCTTCAGAATGTGGCGGCTGGAGATTGCGGGAGGTCTTGGAGGCGCAGGGGTGTATCTCAGCGCATGTTGTTTCAGCATGAGGTTGTGAACCCGGAGAGTTCAGCAACAATTCCTCAGACCAGCACATATCATGAGGCCTCACTCGATTTCAGGTGCTCGTAATGTTGGACCCTCTTTAATAAGGCCCCCCGCCCCCCAACATTAGGGCCCTCCGAAAAATTCAAATTAGGGATCCTCAATACGTCCCCCCTAAGCTCCCACGGTTCTGAGGTCCCTGTGGATTGATTTAAAAGTTTTTGTTGAGAATCCTTCCTACATTTTTGGGCTCCCAAAATCGAAACTCATTATAGGGGACCTTCCAATCATTGCCCTGATCCTGAATAGGCCGGCCCCTAAACTCATTATAGGTACAGCCCGCAGTTCTATCTGGAGACACCCGACAGTTTTTACATAGCTCGTGTCCCTGCAGAAGCCGCAAACTTCTCAAAAAAAGCGCTCATGAGAGTAAGAGATCTCAAGCCGTATGCACAGAATGCCATTCCCTACGTGAACATCCTGTCGAATCCCGTGGAACCCCCCCCCCCCAGAAATCTGAACCTCAGTTTGCCCTGCAAGAAACGTTCATGTAAAACGAACCTGTCATTCCAGAAGCCTAATGCGAACCCATGCAGCGTCCATGACCTCCGCGACCGCTTATTGCGAATTCCTCTGGCTGCAAAACCCCACTTCGCGCACCAAGTCTATATATACCAAGCCTAGCTGCTCTTGAGGTTGCCAATCCGACTCCTTGGTTGCTTTTCATTCATGGTCCTGTTCATGTCACCGGAAATGAATCATGTTCAGGCTTCTCAGCTCAGCCAAGGCTTCATATAGTGTTTAGATCTTTTGCCTTGCAATAGCGGGGCATGTCTCACATGAGGGCCGTCAGACCCCGAAGAGGAACTGCAAAGCACTGAGCAAAAGCATGCTTAGGTCCAACGCTGATGCCATCATGAAG